GACAGAAAGCGAGAAATCACCCCCCAGGGGGGATGGCCACGCCGCAATCCCTTCTCCCTCTCGGGATCTTGGGCACGCACGCACACGCGCCCGGCGTGAGTTTAAGCAGCCGGGTCTGGGACGCAAACTGCGGTCGACTATGTGGGAGTCCAGCGACACAGCCATTACGCTAACTGCTGGTCCCACGAGCCTGTCTTTAACCATGAGGACCTGACAGCTTTCTTTCTTTCTTTTTAAAGTTTTGTTATAGGGTGCATGCTCTCGCCAGAGAGAGACAGGGAAAGTGAGAAATCATCCTTGGGAGGGTGGCCGCACCACAGCCCCTCCTCCATCCTCTTCGGATTTGGGGACATACACGCACATGCGCCCAGTGTCATTTTGAAGCTGCTAGGTCTGGAACTTGAACTGCGCAGTCAGCCACGTGGGGTCCAGCGCCTTAACCTCCACGCCTCTGCTGGCCCCGAGAGGTGCCTTCCCGAGCAGCTGTGCCGTCCTGTGCTCCCGCCAACTCTGCCGAGGTCTGGCCTCGGTCGTGGCCGGCGCGCTCTTGTCCACGTGGACTTGGGGAGGGGTCTCCGGGACTGCTGTTGGTGCCCTCTGGTGACAGCGGTGCTCGGCCCCTGCTCATCTGCCGTCCACAGGCCTCTGACGCCTGCTCGGGTCTCCCCGGGGCGGTTTGTGGCTGCCTTGCTGAAGGCTCGCTTTATGTCCCGGGTCTCACTTTCTCAGATCCGTGTCCTGCACGTTCCCCTAGTTTCTGCATTTTGAGTATTTAGGAAAGCTGCCTCGCCTTAGTTTCAGAGGTTTTTTAATCTTGTTTAACTGTAGAGCTTTTACGGTGTGGGGTTTAGTTCTTGGGGCTGGCAGCATGGTGGTTAGAGCGCTGGACTCCCACATTGCTGCCCAGACCTGGCGGCTTGCTTTCTCACTTCTCCTCTCTGGTCAGATGGAAAATAACAAGGGCCGGCGGGCGGCGTGGTGGTTAGGGCACTGGACACCACACTGCTGACCTCCGTTCCTGGACCCGGTGGCTTAGCTTCTTCCTTTCCCTTTTCCCTTTCTCCCTCTGGTTGAATTAAAAAAAAAAAAGAATAAGTAAAATTAAATAAAAATAATTCTTTAAAAATAATAACAAATGCAATCAAATAAATAAATAATCCTTAAAAAGAAAGTTTCTTTTACGTGAGAGAGACAGAGACAGACTCCCAGCAGGGGCCTTTGCACCATGATCCACCCACAGCCTGAGCCAGTCCTGGACCATGGCTCACGCACCTCTGTCGTGGTCAAGGAGCTTTTTCTTCGGGAGAGGTTTTTTGTGCGCTCGCCAGAGAGACAGAAAGCGAGAAATCATACCACCACCACCCCAAGATGGCCACGCCGCAGTCCCTTCTCCCCCATTCTCCTCTCGGGACCTTGGGTATGCACGCGCACGCACCCAGTGTGAGTTTAAGCCACCGGTCCGACTCGAACCACGGTCAAATACATGGGAATCCAGTGACATAGCCACTATGCCAACTGCTGGTCCCATCAGGGCCTTTAACCACCATTCCACCTGCCGGTCCCACCTTGTTTTTCTGTTTGTTTGTTTGTTTGTTTTGAGAGAGATTTTTGCTATAGGGCACTTGTGCTCGCAAGAAAGACAAAGAGACAGAAAGTGAGAAATCACCACCCCCCCAGGAGAAATGACCACACTACAATCCCTTCTCCATTCTCCTCTCGGGATCTTGGGTACGCACGCACACGTGCCCGGTGTGAACTTAAGCCACCAGGTCTGGGACTTGAACTGCAGTCGACTACATGGGAGTCCAGCGATGTAGCCTTTATGCTATCTGCTGGTCCCTGTTTTCTTAAGGGAGATTTTTGCTATAGGGTGCATGTGCTCCCCAGAGACAGAGACAGAAAGTGAGAAATCATGACCAGGAGGGGGCTAGCCATGCCACAGTCGCTTCTCTATTCTTTTGGGATTTGGGGCACGTATGCACACATGCCTGGCATGACTTTCAAGCCCCTGGTCTGGGACTCCAACCACGGTCAGTCCTGTGGGAGTCCAGCAATGTCACCATGATGCCACCTGCTGGTCCTGAGATTCTCCTTGGGTTACCGCCAGCAGAAAAGGCTGTCTGTGCTGAGGGGCGGTACATGATCAACATGCCACTCTGCCCCGCAGCCCTGCATGGGAGGTTCTGGGTTCACACCTGGAGTACACCGGGCAGGGGGTGTCCAGTGCAGGCTGGGCATGGGCTGTGGTGTCTCTGTCATGGAAGAGAGATACAAAGCAGGCCTGCTGCTGCGGTGGGGCGACAGACACACCCTACAGGGTTGGAGGCCACGTGCTGAAGGGCTTGGAAAACCATGCAGACATATGCGCCACACCCAGGCCCCAAGGGTGGGGAGCAGGAGGGTGCTACGGGGCCTTGTCACAGACGAGCATCCACACATGTGCTCTCATTAAAAAGTGAATAAAGTGGGACCAGCAGCTGGTGCAGTGGCTGTGTCGCTGGACTCCCACGTAGTCGACCGCAGTTCGAGTCCCGGACCCGGTGGCTTAAACTCACACTGGGTCACATGTGTGTGCGTGCCCAAGATCCTGAGAGGAGAATGGAGAAGAAGGGATTGCCGCGTGGCCTACCTTGGGGGGGTGATTTCTCGCTTTCTGCCTTTTGGTGAGCACATGCACCCTATAGAAAAACCTCTCAAAAAAATAAGTGAATAAAGTAAAACAAAGTCTGTCCTTTCCAGTGAGCGGTCTCGGTCAGAATCTGCAGGCACGTCTTTGGGGCTCCCCCTGCTGCTCTGTACCCCGCCATCTGTGTGTCTGTGGTGTGCCTGTCCATGTCCTCCTACTCCTGGTCCAAGGCAGTGCTAGGGCCAGCCTGCTGCACCACGATGGGGCCGCCTGCACGGCTGAGTCCTGGGCCTGACAGCTTGGAAAACACCCCAGGTCCGTGTGCGGGTGCTTGCAGTGCGACAAGAGGGGGGAAGTGGAGGGGCAGGATCGTGGTGGGGACATCCCCCTCGGGCATGCTCCCTCTCCGAATCTCTGGCCAGTTTAGAGAGTGGATGGAAGTCGGACGGCAGGGTCGGGCCTCGCTTTCTCACTGTGAGCCAGCTTTGCTCTCCCGGCTGTCCCGGCTCCCAGTAGGAGGCTGGGATCGCTTGTCGACATCTACGAAACCAGGCAGCTCTGATAGTCCGCCCTGATGGGCAGGGCGGCAGAGGTGAGCGAGGTGAGCCTGGGAGAAGACAGCCGGCACGGAGTCGCCCACAGCAGGATCACGGACCGGCCACACTCTGCTTGTGACCCGGGAGCTCAGAAAGGGTTTGGCGTTTTTATACGACAGGAGAAAGCCGAAGAGTACCCACGGCACACTGCCGGAACCCGCCATGCCAGTTTCCAGGACATGGTGTTTGGGCAGGACACGGCCAGGCTGCTGCCACCCTGTTTCGTGGCTGGTTCGAGCTGATGACGGTGGGGTCCAGTGTGCACGATGGAGAGAGCCACCACTGGGGCTTCTCACTCGTCGCTCGGGCAGCACAGAGTGCGTCGCCTCTGCCACCCACGCGCAGGGCTTGCTTCCCCAGTGACCAGTCGGCCCTGGACAGCATGGCATCCTGTGACCACCTGCGCCCCACGCTGACTCTGGAAATGGCCAGGCTCTCTAGGGTGAGGGCTTAGTCCACAAGGTCCGGGCCGCCTCGGCTGCCGCTCCTGTGCCCAGGCGGTGCCGGGCTCCTGCCAACGGCTGTGAGTCGGGGCCTGAGTGGTTTGCTAGAGAAGCTGGCGAGCCGATGGTTAGGGGTGTGGAGGGAGGGGCGGACAGCAGGCGGCGGTGCAGGCCGCATGGGGCACAGGTGCTGCACGTGTCCGGCCATCCGCGTTGGTCCTGGAGGCTTTCTACAGAGGCTTCGTTGCCCAGGCGTCAGCGGTCACATCGTGGGTCTCTGGCCGTCAGCTTGGCCCGCAGCCCCTCCCCCTCTGCGGGGCGGGGCCCACAGTCCCACCCTCCACTCCTGCCTGGTGTTCTTGGGGACCGGCCCCTTCCTGGACTTAACGTGGCCCCTCCATCACCTCATTGGCACACGAACGCCTGGGCCAGGGAGAGCCTGGCCGTGCAGCCTGTTCTCGCGTCACGGTGGCCGCGGTGCGAGCTGCTGCCACTGCTCACAGCCACTTACAGTGCCACGAGTGCCGCTGGCAGACGAGCGGTGACCAGGAGCTGCCGTGACACGTGCATCATGGTGGAGGACGTCGCCCACTGCCCAGGGACACTCCATGCTAAAGGAACCAAGTGCAGACTGGCATCGCGCGGTGCCCCCAGCTCTTGGAAGTACGCCATTCGGAGAGGAGGCACCGTCCTCCCGCAGCGAGGGGGCAAGGGCAGTGCGTAGGGTCCACGCTCCGTGTGCCGGAGGCCGCCCTGGGCAGGCCAGGAGTGCGGACACCAGGACCTGGCCTGCCAGGGCTGGGATGGGCCGTGGCCTGGGGACTTTGCCTGTCCCACAGAGGGAATAAGTTCAGAAATGAAAGGAAGAAGAAAAGAACATGGGGATCCGGGGGGAGACCTCCAGGTAACCCTCAGCCATGCAAGGAAAGGGCCACTGTGGCCAGGCGGTGGCACCAGTGTGTCCCGAGCGGCAGCAGCAGCGGCGGTCGAGGCGTGGGCCCGTTGGAGAGAGCCGGGCATGGGAGCAGCACCTGCCTGAGAGGACGGCGCGTGCTTCCGCTTGCTGTCCCTCCTGGGTGAGCCGCACTCGGGCGCTGCCAGGCTGTCTGCGTCCTCATCAAGGCTGAAGTCACTGAAGGACAGACCTCCGAGTGGCCCGTGGACCCCGCGCAGCCAAGAGCGTCTTGAAGCTGGGAAACGCGAACTTAGTGCGAGGCAAGGTGGAGCCCGCCACGGGCCAGAGCTGGGGAAAGTGGGGCAGGGTCTCGGCGAACTGTGACCCATCGTCTGGGACACGAGGTGCACCCAGCTGCGGTCCCTCCTGTGGCTTAGCACATGGCCAGTGTGCGCAGTGAGCACGTCTCAGAATTTTTCCCAGAAATAGAAGCCAGCTATCTGGCTCGCCCTGCTGCCCCGCACACTGACGGCTTGGCAATGGGTAAATGGTGAGTCCTTCTTTAAGTTTTGCTTTAGGGCGCGTGTGGTTTCCGGAGAGACATCGGGATGGTGGGGTAAGAAAGCAATCCCCAGGGGTGATGGCCATGCCGCAGTCCTTGTTCCTCCATTGTCCCTTCGAGATTTTGAGCACGCACGCGCATGGTGCCCAGCGCCCTGTGGTTCTCAAGCTGCCAGGTCCAGTACTTAACCACGCCGTCCGCCCTGTGGGATGCAGCTGTCTCGCCGGGCCCTGGCTAACCGCCGCCGGGTTTCAGGCGCCGGCACGGACTTCGATGGAGCCGCTCTCCCAGCGCCCTGCAGTTCCGCGTCCGTAGAGCTGCACAGAGCTTCCTGTCTTTGAAGCTCTAGTTCTTGGGACCGGGCCGCTGGCCAGGGGCACAGGCGGGCCGCAGCGTCGAGACCCTGTTGGGTGGGGTCCACTTCCTCTCCTCACTCATGGCAGGCACGCGCTCTGAAGAGAAGACATGGCATGCACCGCCGGTGTGCGCTCCCCTGGCGCCCCGGACCTGCTGGCTGCGGCTCTCGCCCTCTGTCCGAGGGTGGGTGCATTTGGTGGGAAGACATCAGGGAGGAAAGTACCCAGGGGGCTGTGGTCACCCCACAGCCCTTTTTCCCTCCTTCCTCCTTCCTGTCAGGACTTTGGGCACGCATGTACATGTGTGTACACGTACCCGGCATGTTTCAGGCCACGCCGGGGTTCGAGCTGTGCCTGGCCATGCGGGCCCCAGCTCCCCGTGGAGCCAGCCCTGTCACTAGCTCTCATAGCTTTTTCTTTTCTTCCAGGGGGGGTGTATGAGGAAGGGGGGGTTCTGACGGCTGTCACTGCCTTCCGCCCACCCCCCAGGGAACTGGGAACACAGGCATGGGTGGCCACACCTGACCCTGCACGTGGTCTCAGCCACCTCCCTGTGGTGCCCTCCTGCTGACACCACAGCGGCCCCGTTCTGTGAGTGCCCGAGTGGATGGGTTTCTCCGTAGACACACCATCTGTGGAGGCGTGCTTAGTTCCTGTTTCCACCTGGTTCTTTTTTATTTTTTAAGAGGAAATTTTTTAAAGAATTATTTTTATTATTTTAACTTTATATATTTATTTAAATTTGACCAGAAAGAGACAGAGTGAGAGAGAGAAAGTGAGAAAGGAAGCTGCCAGGTCTGGGACTCGAACTGTGGTCAGCCCTGTGGGCGTCCAGCGCCTTCATCACCGCCCCACCTGCTGGTCCCTCAGCTCACTATCTTAATCACATCTGCAAAGTTCTTCTGATACGTAAGTAACAGGTTCCAGGGACTAACCATAGACATCTTTAGGAGGGGAGGGGTCATTATTCAGCCTCCCACACTTATCCTCGCGCTGTATCTTGGGCATTGACGCACATGCGCCCGGCGTTAATTTTAAGCCACCGGGTCCGGGACGCGAACCGCGGTCAACTACGTAGAAGTCCAGTGACATAGCCATTATGCCAACTGCTGGTTCCCTCCACCTGGTTTTGACTGGTACTTCCACTGTAGTTGGAGGCCACGCAGCGGGTGGATAGACTTCTTTCGCTGGGTTGAGGAAGTACCCTTTTGTTCGGGTTGGCATAGGGTTTTCTTCAGGAGTTGTCTTTGGACATTTTTGTTATTTGGATTTTTTTTTCTCAAGAGTTTTTTTTTTTTTTTTTTTTTTTTTTTTTGCTGTAGAGTGTGTGTGCTCACCAGAGAGAAGAGAAAGACAGAAAGTGAGAAATCACCTGCAAGGGGGGATGGTCATGCCACAATCCGTTGGACACGCACACACATGTGCCTGGTGTGAGTTTTAGGCTGCCGGGTCTGGGACTTGAACTGCCATCGACTATGTGGGAGTCCAGTGACATAACCATTACTCCCTCTCCTGGTCCCTTGGATCATGCTCCTATGCCTACTGAGAGGCTCTGTGTCTTTCTTTACCCCGTCAGTGTGGTGAGTTACATTGCCGAGTTCCGAGTGCTGAAATAACCGTGGATTCCCAGGTGATGCGAGGTGGTGGAGATGGCATGTCCTTCTGTGTGCTGGGGGTGACTTGAGAAGGTGCCCGTCTGTGTTCTTTTTATATGCGCTTTTTTTTTTTTTTTTTTTGAGAGGTTTTTCACTATAGGGCGTGTGCCTCACCAGACAGACAGAGAGAGACAGAGAGGCAGAAAGCGAGAAATCACCCCCCTGGGGGGATGGTCACGCCGCAATCCCTTCTCCATTCTCCTCTCGGGATCTTGGGCACACACGCACATGCGCCTGGCGTGAGTTTAAGCCACCGGGTCCGCGACGTGAACCGCGTTCGACTATGTGGGAGTCCAGCGACATAGCCATTACGCTAACTGCTGGTTCCCAACGTCTGTGTTCTTGAGGCAGGTTGACCTATGGGTTTCTTTCTATTTTTAAAATATTTTATTTAACTTTATTTATTTTAATTTGAGCAGAGAGAGACAGAGAGAGAGAGAAAGTGAGACAGCAAGCCGCCAGGTCTGGGACTCGAACCGCAGTTGGCCATGTGGGAGTCCAGCACCCTTAACCACTATGCTACCTGCCAGCCCCTGACATGTGGGTTTCTTGTGGTGGTGTCTTTGTCTGGTTTTGGTATTAGGATGGTGCTATACTCCTTGTGAGTAGGGAGTGTTCCCACCTCTTCTATTTTCCAGGAAAGTTTGTTTGGAATTGGTTTTAATTCCTTCTTCTTTAAAGAATTATTTGGTCCCTGTGTTGGCTTTTTTATGTTTGTTTGTTTGTTTGTTTTGGAGAGGCTTTTGCTATAGGGTGCGTGCCATGCCACAATCCCGTCTCCTCCATTCTCCTCTCGGGATCTTGGGCACACATGCACACACACCCGGCGTGAGTGTTTGCCATTGGGTCTGGGACTCGAACTGCAGTCAACTACGTGGGAGACCAGCGATGTAGCCATTATGCTATCTGCATTTTTAGTTTTTTTTTCTTACATGAGAAAAAGATGGGCAACCTTGAGGGGGTCCTCATGCCATGACCCCAGCCTTCCAGCCGGCTGGATCTGGACCTGGACTCTGCCTGTGCGTGTCACCCTGGGCTGGGTCTGCAGGGTGTGCCCACTCAGGCGTGCATGCCTGCCATGCACCCACAGGTCTGTGTTCTGCATCACGGCAGGAGGGAGCCACAGGCTGAGTCTGGGGGCAGGCAGTGGCTCCTCTGACCCAGCCTCCTTGCCAGTCCCCGTCTGGAACTGAGTGGGGCGGGTGCATGGGTGCAGGTTTCAGGGCCGCTGAGGCTGGCCCAGGAGTCAGCTTTGCTGGCCTGAGCCCTCCCCGGACCCTCCAGGGGGGCCTCTGGCCTCTGGACAATTTGATTGTGCATGTCCATGGGGCTGGAGCATTCTCGGGACCCAGGGGGTCCAGCCGGCTCACTCCACACTGCCGACGGGGTGAGCAGGCCCCTTTCGGTGCTGCCTCAGCCAGGAAGCCCTGGCCCGGATTCTTTGTGGTCGCTGAGTGCATTGTTCTGGTGAAAGTGGCCGGTGGACAGGCGTGTGGGCCGGCTGTGCTGTTCTGGTGGGAGCGGCAGTAGGCCAAGTGCGGGCCCGGGGCTATGACCGGCCCAGCGCATGGCCAGGCCTGCAGCAGCCACTCAGGAAGGGCTCCCTGGGTCTGTGACAGGGTCTTGGGCAGCCCTGCTGTAAGACTTGGCTGGCCCCCATGGCCTCCCGGGGGATCTAAGCCCAAGCCCTGGCAGAGATGGCCCCTCCTGCCTGCCCTGCAGCCCCTACTCGGTTCAGGCTGTCTGGGATGCGCCGCTTCCTTGCTGGGTAGTGCTGGGGCGTCCCGGCTCTGTCCCTCCTGCTCCCTGGCACAGGGGGCAAGCTGGACTCCCGCCTGAGGGCCTGCTGTGTCAGGACCAGGACACCCCAGCACGGGGTGGTGTGAGAGTGGGCTGAGGGTGGCCGGGCTGCCAGGTGCCCGCGCGGGTGACGCCTTCTCTGTTCACAGACTACGTCTACTTCGAGAACTCCTCCAGCAACCCGTACCTGATCCGGAGGATCGAGGAGCTCAACAAGGTAGTGTGGCCTGCCTGCTGCAGCGGCCAGGAGGGGTCCCCTCTGCCTGGGTGGGGTCTCTCCCCTCGAGGGGGAGTGGGGTCCCCAGGGGCCGCGTCTGGGGCTCTCGCCACGGTGGCCTGAGCACCTTGCTCCATGGGTGTTTTGTCTCGGGCAGGGGTGTTCAGGGGTACCTTTGCCGGGCATTTCTGGAGCCCAACCGAAGAGCATGGTGTGGGACTCAGCTGGCCGCGTGGGCAGCCTGCCCTGGCCCCTGCCCCACCTGCCCCACCTGCCCCCAGCCTCGCTGCACCCCTCTGCTCTGGCCCTGGGTAGCAGCGTGCAGGCTGCCGGCCCGGCCTGCGTGGTTCTCCTGTCAGCCCTCACCCTAGGCCGTGTCTGCCCTGACCCGTCAGGGGCCGTGCTCTCCAGCTGAGACCCGGGGAGCGCCCGGAGCCAGTGGGTGCGCCTGGGCGCGCAGTGGGGTAGGCACACGGATCCCAGATCCCTGCTCCACCCAGCATCCACTGTGCCTGGGTGACCTTGGCCTCCTGAGACCGTGGACTAGGCAGGTCATGCTAACCAGGGGACTGCGGAGCCTGGCATGCCCTGCACTCGTGCCTGCCTATTGCTGCCTGGCCAGCAGGATGGGCAGCTTCCATCTTGGAGGCCCATAGGTGTGGCCTGAACCCCCGCTCACCCTCCTCCTGCTCCTGGCTGGAGGCTTTCCCAAGGGTACCCTGCCCTGGCCCAGTGGACACGCCCCGGCAGACGTGGGGGTCTCCTGTGCTGCAGACCCCTCTGAGCGCTCCTGTGGCCTGCTCCCCATCCCTGGGTCTCAGGCTGGTGGCAGCAGTGACCTGGGGTTGGCGCGCTCTCGGGCTTCACTGCGGCTGAGGCCTCCTGGGGACTGGGCAGCTCTGGGCAACTGTTGGGGGCAGGGGCTCACGGGCAGCAGGGCTAGGGTCACCAGCACCCTCTGCTGGCAGGAGCACTGAAGTGCTGGCCGTGCAGTCCAGCATGCCCTGACCGGCAGTGGGAGGAAGCCGAAGCCCACGGGACACCCTCAGCCGGTGATGAGTGTGGCTGGGGGGGCTGGGGCTGGGGCTGGGCCTGGGGCTGCACACTCCAGCCCTGAGCAGCGGCAGTGCTCCCATGTCCTGGCTCTGCACGGAAGGCCCCAGGCGAGCGCTGTTTGGACAGGGGTCTTGCCCGTGGGGCTTCTAGGTGGCCCAGAGAGGTCACAGAGCTCCTCAGACCCTGCAGGACGCTGAGTCCCCTCCACCCAGTGGTGGTGCCGCACTCCAGCTCTCCCACCTCCACAGACTCTGGGCTACCAGGGGCTGCGCCTAGCGGGAGGACTTGCAGTGAGGAGCTGACCCACAGGGAGGGTGCCAGGTGGAGAGAGCTGATGCAGGAGCACAGTCCTCACTGCACACAGAGCGGTGCCCCCACCACGCACAGTGCCCCCACCACACAGGGCCCCCACCACGCATAGAGCCAGGACACGGCCCCCACCACGCACAGTGCCAGGACACGGGCACACGGCCCCCACCATGCACAGTGCCAGGACACGGGCGCGCAGCCCCCGCCGCGCCGAG